TATAATTGAGCGGATGATGATAAAGATATTAGAGCTTAAAAAACGGTGAATTAGTATGGGATACGGAGCTGCGGCGCCCGCTTACCGGATACGTTAAACAAACTTGTCTTTTACTAAGCTCCTTTGTAGACCGTCACAGCGTCTTTATCAAACTCGGACCCTAAGAGGTTAGAAAACGCATTTTCTGCCCCTATAGTGGCGAGTATGGTGGTTGTATCTCACATTGAAATATGTATATAACGTGAGATGAAAGCTGTCAGTTCTACCTTGCCTGTCCGGAGTTATGTTAATACTGAACTCTCGGCCTTGTACAGGCTGACCTTGAAGCTTAAGCAGGTCTTTAGTTAGTCTGTATTAGACTTTTTTTAGATAGGCTCCTGCAGAACTCTTCTCTTCCCTTGTTCTATCTCTCTAGAACCGCTTCCTATATCCTGTGCTTTTTGGTCTACTTCTTCGCTGCCGGCGGTAGCGCTCTTTTGATCTACGCCTGGCCTCAGCCCTGTAGCATGGGCCTGTTGTATCCTACTCTTTCCTGTATGTAGACCGTTGGTCAGAAGGCACTAGGTTCTACCCTTTTGCTCATCTGTTTTGTGAGTTCGCTGGTTTCTCGCTTCGCAGCCCCTGCATGATACCCGGCCAGTTTTCCTGCGAGGTAGTGTTCGATTGATAGAGTATAAACGAGTGTCTCTAAGGTAGACATTAGTGTAGCTCTAAAGGCTCCTGTTGTCCTTCGTAGGCATCTGGCCTGGACCTTCCGGGCCAGGCGGAGAGGGGGTATTATCTTGTATTTTCCTCCGATTGGGATATGCCAGGCGTGACTTGCATAAGTGAGAGCCGGGCAGACAACCGTATTGTAGATTCTCCGGGCTTGTAGCATGGGGAGACTGATGAACGACCAAGAACTACTATATAGTGTGACGCTCATAGTCACGGGTTAGGCTAGTCAGGTGACTTGGTCGTTCTTTACACCTGGGTAGTCCCATTACCGGATCTTCTTTCCTTTTTCTCTTCATGTTTGTTATTCTCGTTGAACTGCTACCTAGATAGTTGAAGAATGGAATATCTTCTCATTCTAGATTGAGCCCCTGTCACAATTGTGACGTCCTGAGCATGCAGTGTAAGGCACTGACCTCAAGAAACGTAGGTATGCATTGACGAAGAATAAGCTGCACTCCATGCAGCTTGTTCTGCGTGAAGAAACTATTTGTCAAGGTGCGGGCTGGCGGGGTGGTAGAGCTGATGGCAGGCAGGCGAGCAGGCAGGCTAATAGTTCACAATATCTCTGAATTGCTACAGGGTCAAGCTATCTACAGGCTTATAGACAAGACGTAGCTCGGAGAGCTACAACAGGATCCTCAGGCAGGCGGGAGATATGCGGATCCCGGAACGGATAATATAGTGTTCCGGGCCACGCCGAAGGGGTGCCTCAGGCACCCTAGGTCTGCAGCCTGGTAACATTATCCAAGTGGTAATGGCCAAGAGCAGAGCGGCCACTCTAGGGTCCATGTGAACCTACCATCCCTTGGGGATAGACTTGATTGCTACGGTGCCCCGGATCCGATGCCGATCGAACGCTCTGCGCCAAACATGGGAAAGCCAGCCCTCCATGAACAGATACTGACGCCTTTCGATTGTTATTTTCTTTTACTGGCTAGCCGAACGGCTTTTACTTCCTTTTCTATCAGCCTACGGGCCTACGACCTCCGCTCTGCGTGAGCTACGACAATACGGACCTTCTTTGGGAGACCCCCAACAATACTGCTCCTTAGAGCTTCTTAAGAGTAGGATCACTATCACTCTTCCAACCTATAAACATTTATACTTGTGGAGGTTTCTTTTCCCTTTTCCCTTCGGGGTTTGGGTTGTTTTTCCCTCTATACCATCAAAATCCGATATACTTGAGGGAGTGGTGATCTCAAGGAACTGCAACACCGCGGGATTAGAGACCTGGGATATGAGATTTTGTTTGGGAAGAATTTCAGTATAGACTATCTTTTTAATTACGGCAGCTATCTAAACGCGCCAAAGAGTCTCTTGATATATATTATAGCACAAATAGCTACAGACACCTGTTACGGACCCTTGCAACACTAAGAGCCGCGAGGCAGAAACGATAGGATAACAGCGGCCCGAGGCTGATGACGCTACGGAGGAAACATGGATCACGTGATATGGTATGCCGGCACCATATGGTATACGATATACTATCGGGTATGTTGTAGACCAGATGGTATGCCGCAGACCTATAAGGTATACGGGATGGTATACTCCAGGAGGACTATATAAGGACGCTCATTCACTCACCTGTTAGATAGTTCTTGTTTAGTTCTTCGTGTTCAATAACAACTACATCTTTGATAGTAACTTGTTACTGCTATTAGATTCGCCTACCACTATCACAGGGAGGTATACGTACCAACCTGGCCTTACTTCTATCTTCGCTGCATTCAGGATCCTCAGTGAGGGTCACCGAGACACTTTACACCAGTTCCAGTTGGTAGAGCCACCGGGCTCTCAGGTTAAGTATCACCCATCCAGAATTCAGGATCAACCAGTTGATCACCAAGTGCTTGAACTTATCTACGGTAGCAGGCTTAGCGCAGCTTAGACGGATCCTAGGGTTTGACAACACCCAGGGCTTACCCCCTGGCGGCCTTTGCCCCAACAGGGGACGGTGGGACACGTGCTTAGGCAGTGTCACACGGCCGTAAAATACAACAACAACAACAACAACAACTATTTATGCCTACTATCTGTGGGTCACGTGACAGGGTCATGTGATCTAACATACCGGAAGGTTCCTGACATGCAGCAACGTCATATACTAGGGGAGGGTGTTTGTATAGTTTGCACTGTTTGACTCGTTTGTCCCGCGCAGTGGGTTTGTTTACTGCTTCATGCAGTAGTTAAAGCGCTGTTTTTTTCTTCTTTCCTCAACCTAGTGTCTCGTAAATAACCTGCAATAAGAGCCAGTTCTTCATTCCTGAGGTTGTCACATTTATATTATTAAATATTATTGTAGATATTTAAAGATTTTATTAAAAACTTTTCCTTATTCATATATTTCTTAAACAATGAAGATATAATAGTATTGTACGAACCTTTAAAAGTTGGGGAAGTTAATGTCACGGGCTTGGCAGTGAGTAGGTGCGCTTCTACCCGCCAAGACCGTTTAGTAGGACAGTTACCAACTGAGCTACTAAAAAGACCAGAATACCAAGTCTTCGACTTGGTATGCGCATCGCTCTATATAGTAAGCCTTGGTCAGTTCGTCACAGTTAATAAGATAGTAGTTATTTTTAATTTAAGCTATTTTTTGGGGACTTAAGCATGTAGCTGGGCCTCTGGCAAAACCAGTGAAGTTTTCTAAATGCCTTATGTCATATAATTATATTTAAAAACAAATAAAGATCTTAATTTGATATAATTATATAAAAAGAAACCGATATTTAATATAATTTTAAGAAATCGTATAATTTTAATCATACAATTTCATACGGGTTATATTGAATAATCGGTCCGATCAAGCCGGCTAAGCAAGGCGATAATATAATCGTATTTAGTTATCTCCCGCGGCCACACGATCACCTTTGCCCTGGAAGTTCTGTCCAAGTTTAGCAGCTCTTCGATGTCCGCTGGGATATCGGGGCTTGGGTAACCTCTGTTCGAGATATACACTGGCCGGAATCCATGTTTTTCATGGTTTTCGTGGTTGCGTGGCCAGTGGCGGGCGATGACTTGATCTCCGTCCTCTAGGTCGGGGTCAAGGATCTCGTCCTCTTCGTCAGTCGGGGTATCGCGGGCAGACGCACGAGTTGGCTCTGCATTAGCCATATTTTGAAGAATAGAGCTGTCCCTTGGGAGTTGGGACTGTAAAATCGGGGAGGCGGGTGGATGCATCCGGGTTCCTTGAAGATGATAGATCTGAGTGGGGAATCTTCACAGCAGTGAAGTAGGGAATGTTGTAAAGCGCTCGTCCTAGACAGGATAGGCGAGTTTGCACTGGTGCCATCGTGAATATTTATAGTTGACTTCGTGCTGCCTATCGTTGGACTTTCCACTTCAGTGTAAGAAGGTTGATGTAGGATCTTCCACTTGGATGCAGGAAGAGTTCCATCCTTAAATGAAGCCATCCAGCTTCTTCGGTTATGGTCAAACAGTTGTGTTTGTAAACAGCCGTATAGAGAGATCAAACGAAAAAGAGGAGAAACTGGGAAACAGGAGTGGAAGGGGACAAAGCAAACATGCTAATGTTGTATAAATGAAAAGATAAACTTCAGTCCTTGTGCAGGATACTCTGTTAAATCTTGGATTTCAATTGATTATACCGGAAGTTCGAAATAATGCAGAAATCACCGGGTGGCCATACCAAAGCTTGCATAGTGTCTTGGTACTTATCCACAAACAACATCATTTCCCTGTCCTAAGATGGTTACCAGGGGTACATATAAAACTGAAATAACAACGGCAAACTTATGGGGACGATCGATCAATACTGTATTGGTTCTGTCTAAACACGCGAAAAGAAATACAGATATGCATGCTTTTTCATCTCTTGAATGTCTTCAACCTTCACCACCTTTTCATCATTGAACAACACCCAAGAAAGACCATCTTGTCCTGGCAAAGCTTTCCGGATAAATGCAACATAGTGCCTGGCATGCGTTAGTCAGAGATCCTACAGCCAATCAACACTATCTTACCCAGCATGTATGGAAGAGCCTTTGTGGCAGATAATTGAGCGAAGCTGATACCTGGCAGGCGTAGAATCGAACCCAGGGACTCTGGGCTGACTAGAAGATGCATTGTCGGATGATTGGGTTTCGTCTTCAATTAACGCGTCTGGATGACTGAAAACCCAGTCGATTGCCCTAACCACATCGCCTCCTGTAGCTGCTAGTGCTTTCATGGCTCGAGATTCTTCTATCCCCATTTCACCGAGTTGTGCTATTTTTGCGGCATCATATGAAGCATCAGATGATGTTCCCGACTCGGAGGTAACAAGAGGTTCATCAATATCATCATCATCCATGTGAGCAAATAGCCAGTTCATCCCAGCCTCGGCGTCTGTGTTACCAGTCATATAGAGTGCTTTTTCGCATCTGGCTTTTGGGAACCCCATGCTGAGAAGCTGATCTAGAGCGATTTCGTTCGGCGTGAAAGATTCCTCATTGTTAATATCGGGAAGGAGTTCTTCATTTGCCCGTTGGCCCCCGGAAAGATACTGGCTAAGATCCATTGCCTGATCACTGACTTCCACTGGAATTTCCAGCTTCGTAGGGACCCAGTTCACAATCTCAAATCGTCGAGCATTGACGACCAAATGCTGCGGCAATGTTCGAAAAGATGAGCGCTTGGAAAAGCCATCGTTTGCTTTACAAGAGGGGCAATCCAGTTGAACTTTCTCTTCTGATGTAAAGGCATCTAGGCAGTCATACAATGTCACAGGTGCAAAGGAATCGGCCAAATGTGAGTCGTCCGACGTCAACCGACGAGCAGGTACCGGAATAGAAACATTGTCTTGAGCATCTACCTTATAACGGACCTTTTGGCAAGACAAGCACTGGAGGCGCTGCTCCATGGCAAAATCGAAGGCTTTGATCGGGTTTTCCCCATGATCGGAATGTTTGGCTAGGTTGATTAATTTGAAGATATGGAGCAAGAATTCAAAAGCATCCTGTTGCCTCATTGTGGAGAATTCTTCATGGCCACGACCGACAAGATGTTTGAACATTGTTGGTGTCAAGCCTTTTTGATGTGGCTTTCCCGACAAATCAGAAGTGGCAGCCGTATCCTTGTCAGCCTGGGAGTAACGGCCCGAAAGAATACCATCTGCAATCTTTCTCATTTGCGTCTCCAGGTCTTCCGCGGGGAGTCGCGTGAATGGCGGTTCGTCGTATTCATGATAGTATCTGTGCTGAAATTCTGGAAGGTCAAAAATACACTGCAAGACACTCGACAGGTAGCAACTATTTCCCAAATTTGCTAGACCTGTAAGCCCTGGGCCAAAGACTGGGGTGAGTTCGTGACCATCTTCGGTCGTCATAGAGAAGTCCCACTTTAGGTTATGCTCAACCTGCATTTCCATCAAGCTCTTCTCAGTTTTCTCACGAGCCATGAGATTAATACCCCAGTGGGCAAGGTGCGGTCCGAGATTGGGATCTATTCTCTCCTCGTTGCATGCGTAACAGTAGATATCGGCCGTTCCATCGGCGGTTATCGAACCAAGTTTGACGGCTACCGAATGAGATGTCATATCTGAATGCGCGAGGGCATGTGAGTTCCCTCCTATACCACCAAACTGGCTCCGGCCACAACCAAGATTGCCGCACTCCAAACAAAGCCATAAATTTTCTTTTAGGCTGCACATGGAACACTGGCTGAGATCTGGATTCATTAGAGATTAAAGGAGAGAATGCGAATACCCGATTGGAAGCGTACCTTGAGAACCAATTTGTTTAGGCTCATGTTGGTTTAAACCTAGAGTATGTTCACATGGCACGAATTCTTGTTCCCAGGCTTTAACCTCCTCTCTTTTTGCGAAGGTCATTGCATTCATGACGCCCTCTATCACAGCTGGAAGATCGCCACTGGACCTATCCATATCATAATTCAGGCAGGCGTAACATATAACGCGCGTAATAGTGTCATAACGGTCTTCTTCTCTCTCTTCAACAATCGCAAGCTTTGACATTTTCTGGGGAGGCTCATCTCGCTACCCTCGTTAGCTTTCCATGTCCGGAGCGAGATCCAAGACGAAGACACTTTCGATTACCTGCAAATTTTTTGGAAGCCTTCTTATGTTAAGCGCTAAAGGATGACCAAAACGCCTGAAGTGAAGCTGGCCATGATTCTTTTCTCCCGCGCAGCCGCCGTTGAAGCAGGTCAGACACACATTGAGGCCGGCTTCGTGGTCCTAGATGTTGGTTAGGTGGAAGTTTTCTACCAGGAAGCGGTAAATACACACAATAGAATCAAAACATTGGGTGCAATCTTCGCGATAGACAGCTTGTGAGTCAGATGGCTTTTTCAGCTCTGTTGTGCAATGACATTAATACACGACGATGATCACAAGTTGTTGGTATTTTGAAACACTAACCTTCGGAGTTGACATGAATACAAGAATCCATCATGGGGGGTCCCTACCGTGATCGCGAAGCTGTGACACAGTTTCGGTATATGGTCGAGGTGGAAGCTTGATCAACTTGATTGTTGGAGGCAGTAAGTCCTCAGGTGGGGCAACAACGTAATGTTTCGTAGGGCACAGGATCATACCTATTACCTACCTTATGACGGCAGTCTACGGAGTACTGTACCTGCGACGTACCGTACTAAATATTGTACTGTATCGAACTCCTCGGCAGTAGGTACTGGTAATACAGATAGATACGTACGCTGTACCTAGGTAGAGGTATGTGGGTGAAGCCTGAATACCTCAGGCAGCTACAAATTAAAGCGGGGTCATCTCTCAACGCGTCCTGACCGCGTCAGTGCAGTCCCAGCCAGTTTCACGCGTTCTACCCTGCCTTGGCCTGCGCCAGTCATCGATTTGTCGGGGTATCCAATCCTTGACCATCAGCTAAAGCACCTCCTCGATAAACATAAAGCTAGTTTGAATACTCATATTCAATATCTACCATCCTATCTGTTCCTGATTGCGACGTACGGCTCCAGACAATTATTCAATCATAGCTCCCTCGCCTGTCACGATGGCCTCGGAAGCAGCCTCGCAAATCTCTGTCGGTGCCCTCAGGTAACTTGCCCTTGCACATCCCTCGAGCAGTTGGAAACTAATCATCCTTGAGTGCCATCTTCGATGAAACAAAACCTCAAATCCCGGAGCCTATCGTTCAATGCGTTCAGATCAAGCCTTTGCCTCCTCAGCAGAATCATGCAGAACGGTACAGGGCAGTGTTTAGTGATATATCAAACTATGTCCAAACAATGCTAGCGACACGTGAGTGAATATGTTGGCGCCAAAGAAACCTTTTGAGAATACAGAAAGAACCCTAACTCAAATGGATATTCACATAGAAGCCAACCCCCTTGTCACAAATGGTCTCCTCCGTAAAGGGTGTTTTGTTAAACTCAAGGCCTTCCAAGCGAACTCGGTCAAAGGCAAAAAGTTGGGACTCGTCGACTTTCCCATACGAAAATTAAGCTAACCAGAGCTTATTGCAGGATTCTTATCATCCTTGACCTTGAAGTTCTGCAGGATCTTGGGGAAGCCGAGAAAATCGGAGAACCCAAGCCCCTAGAAAGCAAATTAGAAGAAGAGGACAAGCCCCAACCAACGACAATCTCCAGCCATGGCTTTTATGGCTCGAGCACTCACAGTGCCCAAACGCAAGGTAATGACCATACACCACTGACACGACCATCCGTTGCCCCGGGACATGCCACGATATATCCGATCGAAGCAATTTCCCCATATGCGCATAAGTGGACCATCAAAGCCCGTTGCACTAGCAAGTCGACCATCAAAACTTGGCACAACAGGAATGGCGAGGGTAAACTTTTTAGCGTCAACTTATTGGACGACAGTGGGGAGATCCGTGCAACTGGATTCAACGATCAGTGTGATATGCTTTACAATATCTTCCAGGAGGGTAGCGTCTACTACATATCTAGTCCATGCCGTGTTCAGATCGCTAAGAAGCAATTTACAAACCTGAACAACGACTATGAACTCACTTTTGAAAGGGACACAATTGTCGAAAAGGTCAGTTCGATCTCCCCTCCTATGCGACAACTAGTGTATTGACACTTTGGACTAGGCAGAAGATCAAAGTGACGTTCCACAAGTCAGGTTTAATTTTACTATCATAGGTGATCTTCAATCTGTTGAAAAGGATAGCACCATTGATGTGATCGGAGTGCTGAAAGAAGTTGGGGAGACTTCCCAGATTGTGTCAAAGACCACAAACAAGCCGTATAACAAACGTGAACTTACCTTGGTCGATAACACAGGCTTTTCTGTTCGCTTGACAGTCTGGGGCTCAACAGCCATGAACTTCGATGTTGCTCCTGAATCTGTCGTGGCGTTCAAGGGCGTCAAAGTCTCAGATTTTGGCGGTAGAAGTCTGAGCTTGTTGAGTTCAGGCTTAATGACGGTCGACCCGGACATTGAGGAGGCCCATAAGCTGAAGGGGTGGTACGATGCCCAGGGCAGAGCTGGAGCCTTTACTTCACACGCTTCTATGCTCGGTGCATCCACATCTACGGCAAAACCCGAACAGTTTAAAACTGTTGCACAAGTTCGCGAAGAGCAGCTGGGCATGTCGGATGATGCAGTTTATTTCTCACTCAAGGCAACGGTGATCTACATCAAGCAAGATAGCATGAGCTACCCAGCCTGTCTTTCGGAGGGATGCAACAAAAAAGTGACAGAGCTTGATCCCGGTCAGTGGCGCTGCGAGCGCTGCGATAAGACATACCCAAAGCCCGAGTATCGCTATATAATGCTTATCAATGTCAGCGACCATACCGGCCATCTCTGGCTCAATTGCTTTGACGAGGTAGGGAGGTCGATGATGGGTGTTCCCGCGGATCATTTGATGCAATTGCGCCAAGATGAGAACGAAAAGACGATTGGAGATATTTTCCAAGATGCAAATTGTAGAACTTGGAATTTCAGATGCAGGGCGAAGATTGATTATTTTGGTGATCAGCAGCGGTAAGAATCTCTGGTTGATCTTTCGGTACGAGTACTAATAGAGTTGCAAATTCTAGCATCCGCTACCAAGTATCTTCTGCAAAACCCATCAACTACTCGGAGGAAGCCTCTCGCCTCGCCCATATGATTGAGAGCTACGGCATCTGAAGCCTGGATCTCGAATCCTGAATCTAGGAATGCTGAATTTGCATATGCTGTCAAGCTTGTATTCTACTCTCTGATCCTTTTACAGTGGCCAAATCCTGATAACGCGGCCGTACAAATGCGGGGAATCTGCTTCTGACCCTTATCCCCTGGGATGATATGCTGGCGCGCTTTTATCGAAAATTGTGAAGTATTGTTCAGCTATTGAGGACCCCGGGTCCAGTTGATTAGCTGCTGGGAACTCTGGCTGCCTTGATTCAACATGATCAATATCCTAATCAGCGAGAAAAAGAAGGGAGAAAAAAAGCCCTTAATGAGTAGTGTATACAAGTGGGAACGTAAAACAGTCCAAAAAATTTCAATTGGTGTAGTAGAAAGCGCATACTTCTCGAGGTGGCTCGTTAGAAGTTATTCAAATTTATGCACTCCGTCTAAATCCCATATAAATGTACAAACAACAAAGTAAGTAGTTACCTACACACCTTCAATTCCCTCAAGTGACCTCGGTTCCTGTGTGGTTACGGATGACAAATACAAAGCTATCCGTAGCGTTCCGCCTACCACTAACTAACCTGACGAACTATTTTTTTACTCCGAATGTACCTCAGTAGTGGGTGGTTTTTTTATAACTAGTTAATCAATCATACGGTGACGTAAGTGCTTCAATAAATAACTAATGAACTGGTCACCTAACTAGTTACCCTAACTTGTTTCTGCCCAAAATCTCGGTGATGCCCGGCTATTGACTACTACTAGTACTACCTCTTTCCCGGATACCGTGAGAGTACTGCCCCGCATGGCAGACACAATGAAAGCAGTTGGTTTGTTTTGCCTCACCTTGATCTAGTTCCAAATACATGCCCGCAGAAATATTAACCCTAGGTAGGTGTGAAGGGGTCGAAAGGGTCGGCTGATGCCCTATTCGTCGATGCTCTCCCAGTCCCTGAGCCTGAAGATGGCCAGGCCCTGGTGAAAATCAAGGCATTTGGCTTGAATCGAATGGATCTTTTGCAGCGTGAAGGGAAATACCCTGTTCCTCCCCAGGCGCCCAGCACCATGGGGGTGGAGTTTTCCGGTATCATCAAAAAACTCGGCAACAATAGCGAAGAGGATTTTGCTGTTGATGATCAGGTCTTCGGCTTAGCGTATGGAGGTATACTCTTCAGTTCCCTTGTCTTCGTAATCAACAAGACTGCCGTAGCGCTGATCACACCAGTTTGCAGGCGCCTATGCCGAATATATAACTGTATCGACTCATATGTTGATACACAAACCCGTTGAATTGTCATGGGAGGAGACAGCAGGGATACCCGAGGTGAGACCGCCAGCCAATTTCATGTCCTTGGGGCGATTGCGAATCATGGTTGCTGAGATCCTTAGACGTGGTTCACGGCTACCCAGGCCCTGTATCTGATCGGCGGCTTCAAGCCAGGAGACTCTGTTCTTTGGCATGCGGGGGCATCGTCGGTTTCTATAGCGGGAATTCAACTCTGCAAGGCTGACGGCGCCTCCGCGGTTTATGTGACTGCCGGCTCGGGCGAAAAGATCGACTTTTGTGTCAATGAATTGGGAGCTTCGGCTGGTTACAACTACAAGACCCAAGACTGGGCATCCGAAGTTGTGAAAGATACCGGTAGTCGAGGTGTTGATCTTGTAATTGATTTCGTCGGTGCGGCACACTTCCAAGGTAACCTTGATGTTGTCGCTCGAGATGCTCGCATCGTGCAGCTGGGCCAGATGAGCGGGTCTGTCCTTCCTGCGGGCACCAACATCAGCGCCCTTTTGATGAAAAGGGTGAGACTGGAAGGCAGTACCCTCCGAAGCCGAGATTTGGAGTATCAGCGGAAGCTGCGTGATCTTCTGGTGGAACATGCAATGCCGAAGTTCAAGGATGGAACTTTCAGGGTATTCGTCGAAAGGGTGTTTCGTCTTGAACAAATAGCAGATGCGCACAAATTACTCGAGAGTAATTGTACCAAGGGGAAGATCATCTGCACTGTTGATTAATGGGGTTAAACGGGAGTTCGTTTTCGTTTGTTGCATTGGGCGATGAACTCGGAGCTCAGCTAGGTAGGGCATTTGTGCATGTAGTAAACAAACCAACTCGCCGTCCTCATCCTAATCGCCCTGGTCTTATTGGCACCACAACTTCGTACCAGGTAGGTAGTAAGTGCATTAGTTAAGTACTCCGTTACTTCATACCTACCTAGTACATACTACGGAGTACCCACATACCTAAACTTTGGAAGAACAGCTCATTTGATTGGTGATTGAGTGGGCGGTGAAGACTAGCAATACCTCCGCTAGCCCGGAACTACTCCGGACTAATTACCCCGAAGCAGGAGGGAAAAAAAAAAAAAAAAAAAAAAAAAAAAAAAAAAAAAAAAAAAAAAAAAATATTTACAAGCCCACACAAATATTATTGTATCCCCACACCCCCCCGGGGGGCAAAAAAAAAAAAATGGGGG